ATCCTAGTATTCGGTCAGGCAAGAGTAGCCCAAATGTTTGGTCAAATCCTAGTATTCGGTCAGGCAAGAGTAGCCCAAATGTTTGGTCAAATCCTAGTATTCGGTCAGGCAAGAGTAGCCCAAATGTTTGCGGTGTTCTTGATATGCTCCATTCCCACTAATCTGTCAGTTCTAAGTTAGGGACGGCTGGCGAAGATAGTCCTTATATATATAGTTTTATGTGAAAATTATGATAACACCAACTAACTAAGATTATATTTTATACACCATTGTTATTGACCAAACCTTGTACAAGGATGATGATATTTTCATACACTATATTTCAGTAACAACAGAGTATTAATGATGTTTCAATTATTATTTGTTATGCCATTATACGGTCGGCATCATTTGTTAAGCGGTTCAGAGTCAACTGACGAAAGGTCCCTCGTTTGGTAAGTGGTAAGTTACAACGCTGAAATCCAGCGTTCGATTCCTTGCGGTGGAAAGAGCTCATTGTGTAGTTTTGCGCTAAAAAAAAAACAACTGACGTAAAGGGAACGCCATTTATAATTAAACAAATATTTCAACATTTATTTAACATTGTCAGAAAATATTAAAAACAAAAATTCTTATTTATATGCTGCTTAAAAGTTCAGCTTACCTCCAAATCCGGTGTATGTAAAAATGTACCCAGTATGAAACACTTTTCCTATTTCCAACCGAATCTTTGAAGAATAAATAGGCCAGCAGTAATCCACTGGAAAAAAAATTAGGTAGCATTAATATCATCTGTTCAATTAGATAAAAAGAACACAAAGACAATTTTAATAGACGAATAAACTGGATATTGATACAGATAGAAGAACAAAGCTAAAGAATTTGCTATCTGTGCTGTGCCTACCACGAGAATCGAAACCCGGTTTTTATCGTTAGAAGTCTTCAGACTTACCGCTGAGCCACTGGGGGGGGGGGGGCCAAAGAGGAACAGAAAAACTAACTAGAAAGATTAAGGGTCACTGAGAGATATACACAGTTGTATATGTTTCTCTAAAGCAACACAATCCAAAACATTAAATACTGAATACTTGTACAATTACTTCAAAGTTCATTATCATATTTAGATAGTGAAGGATCACCTTAAAAGGAAAAACGAATCCACAGAAAATGAGAAGTTCGACACAGCTGTAAAGGCGAATGAGTCCTTGTCCTTAGCCGCTTCTAGTGCGTTTCCTAAGAGAAGATGTCAAAACGTTAAATATTACGAAGTAATAAGCACAAGAGATCGTGAAAATTTTGTTATTCATGTAATGAAAACTAGTGGAATGTATCTTTTTCACGTATATTAATTCAATTAAATTAGACTATCTTAACAAATAATTGTCAGTTTAAAAGTTAATTTATGCTACATAAATTATCGTGTGCATGACTTTAAGTTTTCTATTGTGATACAAAAAGTTATAAAACAAGATTACCAAAGACATCACTAGTTCTTCAAAACAATAACAGTAATAGATTTTTCATATTATCAAAAAGCTTCCGTTTTTTAGGTGATATCCTTTTAGGCCGATGCATATCTTCAACTCCTGGCCCGGCATGGCCAGGTGGTTAGGGTGCTCGACTCGCAATCTGCGGGTCGCGGGTTCGAATCCCCGTTACACC